GAATTTAAAGTGAGTTTCTAGAAATTCAATCATTTCACATGGTGTTAGATCCTAATTCCAATTTGTTTTCTCTATTGAGAATATGTCGGTTAACTATAACTCTTCATGCTCGAGATTCAGATCAAGATTTGAAATTTGAAATTTGAATTCGACATCGACATTCTCCTACAACATGACTTGATTATTTTTAAGAGTGAAGAATATTCCCACAAACTAACGTAGATTATTTTAGAATACTTTGTTTTTAGTCATATATTTTTTTTAAGAGTGTTCAAAAAATTCAATGACCCGAAAAACTCGATCAACCCAACCCATACGGTTTGGGTTGTTTTATGAACTTATCTAGGTTCAGTTGGGTTAGGTTCAGTTGGGTTAGGTTCAAATAAATGAAAAGTTTATAAATTGAGTTGGTTGATGGGTTTCCCTAAAACTAGATTGGGTTGAATGGAACCAACCAAAATTTATTGTTAATTTTAAAATATACATTTTTTATCCCGATACAATTACACACACATATATATATATATATTTTATTTGATTTCAAATTTTTTTTTTTTATTATTTATTCTCCAACAACTCTTCAAAATAATTTTTAACTATTTGGAAGGTAATTTTTCAACGTATATTTTGAAGTCCTAATTTAAATAGATATTTTACGAACTAACAGTTTACTTTTACTAAAAATAAAATTTTAAATAAATATAATTTTTAAATGTTTGGAAGGTCATTTTTCAACATATATTTTGACTAATAAATAAATAGATATTTTGGTTTTAAATAAGTATAATTTTTTTTAACTATTTGGAAGATAATTCAACATATAGATATCCTCGCGTTCTTCCGGATCCTCTCGTACTAGGGAAAGATCCTCTCAATGCTCTACGCCCACAACGGATATGGACCGAACTGTATCACGACGTTCTGAACCCAGCTCACTTACTGCTTTAATGGGCGAACAACCCAACCATTGGAACATACTATAACCCAGGTGGCGAAGAACTAACATTGAGGTGTCAAACCTTTCCGTCGATATGAGCTCTTGGAGAAGATCAACCTGTTATCCCTAGAGTAACTTTTATCCATTGAGCGACGACCCTTCCACTCGCACTGTCGGATTGCTAAGGCCGACTTTCGTCCGTGCTCGACGGGTGAGCCTTGAGTCAAGCTCCATTCTGTTTTTGCACTCGATAACCAATCTCCTTCTGGCTCGAGGAAACCTTTGCACACCTCCATTACCCACTAAACTATTTTGCTTTTACTAAAATCAAAATTTTAAATAAATGATTCGAACACCCAAACCAACCCAACTCAACCCAAAATATTTATTGTTAGGTTGAGTTGAATTCATTATTTAATGAGGGTTGTGTGGGTTAAAAAAAGTTTACAACCCGAACAATTGAATTGAGTCTAGAGAATCTCCCAACCCAACCGACCCAACCCAACCCACGAACATAGGATTATTTTAAGCCGAACATGCATAACTTTTAAGTCTTAATAACTGAGCTACCAAAAAGAAAAGTGTACTTTGTTTATATAGATAGTAACACTCAATTCTTGTATCAATTTTCTTAACCATTATCTCATATCATCAATATCACTCTTATTTGAACATGGTCACGATTCATCAATGTACCCCTCCTTTTGTTGATTTCACGTGCTGATCGATCATCTAATTTCGTTCTTCCTAAATATCTTCATCTCCAATCAATCATAGAAGGGTGTGAAATAGGGGCCATGTCAAATTAGAAACAAAATCAAATTATCACAAGTTTGAATGAGAATTGCCAAAAGAATTAGGGAAACAAAATCAAACAAAAACGTGATTCATAAGATGGAGAGAAAGAGTAAAACCTTTGCATTCAAGAACTTGCATTGCATGACAAATGATTCCTTATGGACCCATAAGAGTGTGGAAAGCAAGAAAAGCAAAACCCTAAAGTTTGAAACTTTCATACTTCTAAACCACAAGAGACGTTCTTCGAGGGAGTACGATGATGGTTTCCAAAATGTCGTGTCAAAGGCATTTGTCTTTGACACTCAACTATGTGTTGTTTTAATTGACTATCTTAATGAATAAAGGTCAATGGGTTTGAATTTGAATGTGAAAATCTTATGGTAATGAATGTAAGATGAGGAATCTAATTAATAAAACGTGTTCTTTGTGTCACATAGATGTTTTCTTTGAACGTGGTAGGGATCAAGAAGAGACGAGAAATGGTTTCGCGTATAAATTTGACTATGGGTTTGTTTAGGTGTGAACAGTGGAGGGACTCGTAAGAGGTTTAGATCTTCATAATTCGTTTGGGTGGTATATATTATTCGATGAGTATGAATATTGGATATCTAACAGTTAATTTAAGTATGAGGCTCTGAGGCCTATGAAGCCCTCAAACAACCTTTCCTTAATTGAGGCTCGACTCCTTTCTCTAGAGCCCTCGAACAAAGTATATCCTTTGTTTGACTCTTAAGTCACTTTTGACTATACCTTCGAAGCTTACAACTTCTTTGTTCGACATTTGATGATTATATTGACATGATTAAGTTAAAGGCATGACTTTGATACCATGTTCAGTCCACTTTGAGCATTAGCTCTCATGACTTTGCTTTGGGCTTCTCCAAAGGGTCTCAGACATCAATGGAGATGTATTCCTTACTTATAAACCTATGATCATTCCCTAAATTAGCTAATGTGGAACTCCCTCCCAACCGTCCTCAACACTATACATATCAGAAATCATCAATATAAACCTCTAGCCGATATTTCTCTTAACATTTTCTCTCTCTCTCGTTCTTCGTGTTCTTCATCTGCTTAAACTTTTGAATCAAAGAGTAACGGATTCTAATCTAACCTAGCATAAAAACCGACCCACTTCGTAAGAAAAAAGAATTCGATAGGGAATCTAATGAATAAGAATGTGTGGGTTTTTTTTGTGTGTTGTTTGTGTGTATGTGAACAAAATGTGTCATATTTTTCAGCTTTTTGGGTGCCAATGGGAAAAGGATGAATGTCTTCCAACTTTTAAAATAATCACAATATCTCTCTCTTTTCTTTCTGGTCGCATACCCAAAAGTAGATTCTTCTTTTTTAGGGTTGGTAAAATTGAGTGGAGTTGTTGCTACTTTTTACCTCCCCATGCTCGTAGAGAGAATTTAATATGTTCGACCGGATTTAAGTTATACTTCCATCGAGCGGTTAGTGGCTAAAATCTCTGAGGTTAGTCAAAATGAAAAACCACCAAAAGTCACGGCCACCTAAGTACGTATACGCACGATATTTTGTGTAACAGCCAAGCACACCGCTGGCAGATATTGTCCTCTTTGGACTTTTTCTTTCGGGCTTCCCCTCAAGGCTTTAAAACGCGTCTACTAGGGAAAGGTTTCCACATACTTATAAAAGGTGTTACGTTCTCCTTTCCAACCAATGCGGGATTGTGAGATCTCACATTTTGGCTCCCCCTCTCGTATGTCACAAGTTAGGTCAGCCATAAACTAAAAATTTTGCGTGAGTGGCGAGAGTCACGGTCGATATTTTTCAACGTTGTTGTAGGGAATGTTCAAATTCGATAATTTTGACTCAAATTTCAAAGACAAAAAGCCTATAGCAGTCTTAAAATTGAAAGCCTAATTTGTAAACCCTAGTTGGGTCGTTTGAAGTATGCACGTGAAAAAGAGTGAATAAAACTGTACGTATGAGCTTAAAACCGAAACCCTAATTGGTATTCCACCAGTTAAGTAAGAAATAAACTAAAAATTTTACGAGAGTGGCGAGAATCAGGTAAGATATTTCTGGGACATGGTAGTGAATTTTCCCTACACTCGAGTCATGAGATTCTATTGCGTTTTCGAAAACCTAAAAGCTCAAAGCATTCCAGTTATGGAGATGAAGAGACACTCCTAGTTACCAAGTATCTCGCTTATACATTTTAGAGAACCTCAATATTGCTTAGAATCAAGCTAAGTCTAAAGAGGTTTTTTCTTTTGCATACTCTTCCAACAAGAGTACTCTTTTCCTAATCTCATTAGTCGCCCTGATGAAAATACGTCAACGTGCTAATTTTCATGATTCTTTTATGATCCGATCTTTTTATTACTTATTACTACGACTCATTTTCGTCTTCTACAAAAGGTCAATTTATATATAATAATTGTATTGTAGCGGATACCCATCACTTTATTGGTCACATTTTTCGAGAAGATATCAATCATTGTCTAAACGATGAATGACTGAATGTCAGACTTCTATAATGTTTAAACTAAAAGAAAACCGATAATATTTTATTTAAAAAAACACTTTTGAATTATCAAAATTTTCATTAATACCCTTCAAAATTTTAAAATCTTCAAAATTATCCTTAACTTTTTTTAAAAAATTAAAAAATATTTAACACTTAAAAAATACTCATACTAAACTTTTACCTTTTATTTAAATTTTTTAAAAATAAAATTTAAGAGTATTTATTTCTAACGAAAATCCTAAATTAATTATATAATTTTTTGATATTCTTGAAAGCTCTTAAATTTAAAAATATTTTTTTAAATAGAATAAAAAAAAATAGAATATTTGTATTAATTTAACACTATAAATATTAACCATCCATCCTTGCTAAAAAAATTGGAAAAAATAAATATTAAAAGAAATAATCTACTAGTTTTGTAAAAACTAGAAAAAATGGGTAAAAATGACAGATCAGTTACTTTTCCCTACGTGAAAGCGTTGAGTAAACATAATAATAACTTTTACTGTACGGTAAAAAACAAAAACTTTTCTGCAGATTACACGTGGGCTTGGCAGAAAAGAGAAAGAATAATTGAAGATAAAAAAACAATAATAAAAAAAAAAAACATGAAGATGAAGCAAAGGCCGTTGAAAAGTTTGTATTATTTCATGTACTTGTGACCATGAAACAACGATCATGCCTCCCTATGTTAATACTTGGTTCATAATGTCTTTTTGTTTTTGTTTCTTTTTCGATGGTACTTCGTTCTATCCTTATTCGTATATTTTTTAGGGTTTGTTTTAGTCCGAGAAGTAATATGGTCTCGTTGTTATTATTTTTATTAATGGATTAAAGTGTAATATGTGGATATTAAGCTACGTTGAAATCATGTAGATCAAGTGAATTTAGTGAGAGTCGAAGTTAGATAATATGATTTGAGGAAATTGAACTTTTGACTGTACCTGTCTTTCGTGCGCAATATACACGTGTGAAATCCCTCCAACACGTGTGTGTGATGTGGGAGCCACACGTGAATCCCCTTTCTGTGCCATTCGACCTCCCTTTATTAGTTGTCCATGTCGGATTTCAATGTTAATCATGAAATAGGGACCTATTATTAAAAATCATCATAGGGGTGGCCTTCTGGACAAAAATGAGTGTGTAGTACTTTCCTACACATGACCCAAATGTTGGAGTGTGGATACCCAGGCGGTTCACACCCCCTGGATCCATCATAGTCGAGAGCTGTCTGTAGCAACGTCCGGAAGTCAACAAACCCCAAGTGTCATGTGAGTCATGATAATCACCATCATAGTGTACGCATTCGTACTCATCATTATAAATGAGGAAATATCCTGATCTACATGAACACACAAAATGCATGAGGTCCCTATAGTTTTATCTTTAAATCATCTTTATAACACAACTCAATACCTCATTCACACATTACTCTATTCGAGAGCTCCATAAGCCTCAGAGGAGGCTTAAGTGTACTTTGTTCGAAAGGAGAATTGTTGAGAAGTGTTGGGGGTGAGTCCCACATTGGTTAAGTTAAGAAATGATCATGAGTTTATAAGTAAAGAAATACATCTCCATTGATACGTGGCTTTTAGGAGAAGCCAAAAGCAAAGCCATTGGTACGTGGCTTTGATGGGTTACCTTTTTTATTTTATTTTATTATTTTTTTCTACTATTGTTACAACATCGAGCCAGACATGGAGTTCGTTAGGGTTGTGTGATATGTCTTGTGGATCACATGGATAGTGATTAAAGCTAGCATGCACGGGGTCACAACCAACTTTGGGTAACTATATGGTCATGTAGGACGAGTTCGCTAGCTAACCTTCTACGGATGATGAGTAGGCTAGTACCACGGGGTCACAGCCAACTTGTGGTAACTATATGGTCATGTAGGACGAATTCGCTAGCTAACCTTCCATGGATGATGAGCAGGCTAGTACCACCATGTTGTCCCCATCAAAGAGTGAGTTTTATGAGGTAGTGCCTCAACCTAGGACATTGATAGACCGTTGCATAAACTAAGCTAGCTACATAAGTCTATGAGTAGAAAAAGTGGTGTACCTTAAATCAATAGTAAAGTATGTGGTCTCCAAATAAGTTCAAGATGCAATAAGAGCCTAAAAGTAAATTTCATGCTGGGTTTAATTTTATACTCACTCCACCCTACATTTGTTTTTCAAGTCGAGACGAAGGAGTGCTCGAGAGCTTTGCAGCCACAAATGAGTGTCGACTTAGAGCGTCTATCGTGTCCACATTATTTGTAGATCCAACCGGAATATATATTATTTAATTTCATAATTATTTTTTATTATTTATTCTCGAACCCCTCTTTAAATTATTTTTTAGTTTTTTGGAAGGTGATTTCTCCATTACAAATTTTAAATAAATATTTGAGAAGGAAAAAATAAATGTTTTAGAAACTAAAATTTTATTTTTATCAAAAACAAAAATATAATAAATAACTTGAAAAACACAACAAACCCAATCCAACCCAGAAAATTAGAATGGGTCGAGTTCATTGCTTGTTAAAAAAAAAATTATAACTCGAACAATTAGGTGAGTCTAAATTTTTTGGATTGGATAGAGTTCGTTAGGTTGTTCGGGTTGAAAAAATTTATAACTAATCTGTTTTGTTCATATGAATAACATTGTTTAAAATATTTATTTTTGACCATACAATCTTTCTTTACTCTATTTCGTCATTTTTGTGGGAATAATTTTGCCCATCTAATTGGATATAAATCATATTGGTAATGACCCATTTACCCGTTTTTCCATTCATTCATCATTGCAGAATTTTGAAGATTCTTTTGTTTTAAGTCGGGATGGAATATTTCGTGTGCTCCAACAATTTCATTTTTAAGAAAAAGAGATGTTCCTGTGATATTCAAACACAGGTCTTAACTTAGATAAGTTAATAAGTTGGGTTTGTGATAATTTGTAAAATAAATATGCTTGTGACAAGAACAATTGCATCGAGTTTAAAAATATCTCAATTCAACCTAATGATTTGGGATCGATCTATTCGAGTCTTTAATCACGTGGTTATTATCTAATTGTTTGATTTCAAAACCAATCTTATGAAAGATTTTGATATTCAAATGAGACGAATTACTCTTAAATAAGGTGACATTACAACTACCAATCATAATTAGCATGCTCGTTTAACGTCAAATCAACTTTCTTAATGAAATCACATACCAGCTAATTAATCATAATATTATCGTTTTTTTTTTATTTTCAAAAAAGACATGTTCTAAATCATGTCATGATTTCAATTATGTATATGTTAAGATATTTAAGCTCGTGCAAGCGACAAGGCTACTTTATAAATTTTGATATTGTCTTCTTAGCTTGGAATGTAGGGACCATTGGATACATTTTATTCAATTATAAAACTTTAATAATAACATGTTGAGTTTGGAGTATAATCAAATAATTGTGTAAGAAAATCTAGAGAAATAACGAGAAAATGAAGAAGATAAAATGTAACAAGTCGAGCGTATCAGCCATGATCATGAGCTGACCTTCACATCACGGCCTCTGCAAGCTCATGCCCTTCGAGAAGAAACTCTTTTTTATTAGTAAGATATGCATACAAATAAGTAGTTGTCACAAGTAAACCAACGTGGGATATCACAATCCACCCGGTCTAAAGTTCTCGCTAATACTCGTTTCTTTCTCCAATCGATGTGGGACCCCTACCAAATCCCACCTCCCTTCAGGACATAGCGTTCTTACTGGCATATCGCCTGGTGTTTGGCTCTAATACCAATTGTAATAGCCCAAGCACACTGCTAGCAGATATTGTTCTCTTTAGACGTTTCGAGTTTCCCCTCAATGCTTTAAAACGCGTCTACTAGAGAAAGGTTTTCACACCCTTGTAAAGGATGTTTCGTTCTCCTCCCTAACTAATATGGGATATCACAACAATCTTCTTGCTCTCAGGTAGGTGATTGCCACAAGACCATATCACGAAAGAATGATACAATTCTCACGCACACATATAGGTAGTTACTACAAATTTCTATGCACAGATAGACAATCTTCTCTGGTTAACGTGCATTCTTATTTTGTTTTTTTAATTGTATCGTGATCATTTTTCTCCATTTGTAATTAACTGGAACAACACCATTTTATAGCTAGATTTTATTTTGTATTTAATTTTGGTTTTGTTCGTTATCTTTATTTTGAGTTTAGTTTTATTGGATTTTATCTTTATTTTAATTTACTTTTATTCTATCTTTTTTCGTCTTTCGTCTCGTATTTTTAGTCTCGATTTGGATTTCGAAACCTCGATATTCAGGGCGTGACAATACTCAACAAAACTGGGAGCTTAGTCTCACAATCATGTTTGTGTAGAATGCCACGGTCACTCGTCCAAGGCATGTTTCCTGTGGTTGCATGTCAAATATCTCGATCATGCTTGTCTAGGACACATTTCCATGGTCGCATGCCCATTCTAAACTTCTTTTACTTGCTTTCACGTTAGATAGTCATTTACTATTATTGATGAGACAATACAGAGGGGTAGAACCCGTCACCAAAATCATGTCTAACTTGAAGGAACTTCTTGACCACTGAAATCTCCTCCACCTTATCACCTAAGGATCGTCATCAACTTCATCGCAAAGTTGTCTATTGACTCACATCCTTCATACGAATAGCCCCAAGCTCACTCTTCAAGGTTTGCACCATTGCTTCCTTGACCCATTTCATGCTCACATGCATTGTTTGCAGTGTCTCTCACGCTACTTTGCCGAGTTCTTCTCTACCAACAAGAGAAGGATATCTTCGAGGACTGCTTGGTAGATGACGAAAAAATTCATCATGTCCCTACGCTCCTCAATGTTGTCACCATGCTCGATGGCGTCCCACACATCTTGTGTCTGTAAGGTAACATGCACATATCGACCATGTTGCGTAGTTATTCTTCATGAGTAACATGTACTGGAGTGTTACATTCCCTTTTCTGCTATTTATCATCATCATATCTCCTTCCGCGACTTTCTATAGTGAAGACATTTATTTCTGTATTCTAACTCTGATACCAAATGTTAGATATGACCATTGATCAAAGTACAGTCAAACAAATAACTAAGACAGAAACTCCTGAGGGGAGACTTCCTTTTAACTGAAAAACTTTAATACTATACTTTTCAATTCTTTTTGTTGTTGTGAATAAAGTGAGCATTAAAGACTATTTAATCAGTTTAACTACTAACCATTTTCACGAAGAAAAGTCTAACAATTTTCCTACTCACAATTATCCTAAAATTTCTCAAGTTAATAACTTCTTTTTCAAAATCAAGCTTACTGACTCACATATATGACGTGGTATGACATACTAATAACGACCCGACAACAGCAACTACAAAAGTTTGCGGGAGGGAAAGAGAGAGAGAACAAAGTTGTCGAAGTCGTCCTTATAGCGTCGATGACAAGTGGTAGAGGTGCAACGATCGGGTCTAAGTAAGACGATGAAGCAGTGTCAATGCTAGATGATCGATGGCAACGAACCCCCAACGATAACTTTGTGGCGAACGAAGAAAAGGAAATGCAAGCTTTTTTCTCAAGTCACCCGACTACTAAACGTGTGGAAATAAACGAGGAGCCAACCTCACTCGGCTTTTAAAGTTGAGTAGGTCAATGACATGTTTCTCTCTTCTCTTGTTCTCTAAAATCGAGCATGCTAAAGAGTATTATGACAACATAGAGAATTTATAATATTGAAACCTTAAAATAACAAAATCATTTTAATGTTGTTTTAATTTATTAAAGACTTGTAAGATTATTAGTTGCAGTGTAATATTAGCACAACATAAATGAGTATTTGTATGGGATGAACATTATGACTCTTTTGAACATTATGGCTCTTTAGAACATGACGATATCAAGCATTGAATGTCTCACCAACTAAAGTGCTCTATTCAAATGGATGATATCCAAAGGGAACATTTATGGGTATAGTTGAAATTGTGTCATTCAAACTTAAATGCAAATGCTAACATTCAAGACTATAGCCCCATCGCATTTAATATACGCCTTAGTCTTCTAGTTCATGCATCTACGTCATATTTTTATTTTACATCATAATAATTAAAAGTAAAGGACACTGACAATCAGACGTTTAGATTTGGTTATATTTGAGTTCGTGAATTTTTAACTCAACAAATATACTCTGGTGTTTTAGGTGGAAGTTTTGGGAGACTTTACGCCGACAGATAGAAATTTGAACTCAACCAGTGAATCCAATCCTTACCCACGTGGTGCCTCATGAAGTATGTTGACAATGTTTTAAATGAGATCGAAGTTGAATGGTTATGATAGGGTTAGGTTGGGTTGTAACTCTATGTTTGGTCAGATTGACCAAACCAAAAAAATGTCAACCCATTGCGAACCAACTCAAATTTTCAATTTTTCTAAATTTCAACCCAACCCATTAAAAAAAAATTAACTCAACCCAACTCTTATGGTTTGAATTGAATAACCCAAGCTGGTCGGGTTATCAAGTCATACAAACGACCCTAATTTTATTCAACAGGAAAACAAGATATTTTAAGCTCAATAGGCGCACACATGTCATGAATATGTCTAGCTCCATCGTATGCAAGAATGATCTTTCATTCTTATCCATTCACTTGCTAGACGTTATTGAATGAACGATAAGTTACCTTCTAAGGAACCTAACGAAAACTTCGTATGCACGTATATATGCATACAACATTACATTTATAATTATCGAGATAGGCAACGAGAGAGGAAAGGGAAAAAGAAAGCTTTTTGACGAGAGGATAATAGTACGAGCAAACTTTTATCATAAAGCGAGAACCAATAGTCGTCTTCTACTCGATTCGAAAGCAACCCTACTTTCCTTTATTCTAAAGCTTAGAAAAGGAAAAAAAAAATAAAAATAAAAGGGAAGTGAGAGAAGAAAGAGATGGCAAGAAAAAGTCTTGTTGCTTTAATCACAAGAAGCTACCAATACTTTATAGAAATGAGATTTTTTTTTTTTTTTTTTTTGCTTAAAGTTTGACCTTACATGACATGATTATATATATATATATATATATGACTTTGGTGGGACTTTTCTTCCATTACCCTTTTCATCCATTTCAAATTTTCACTTTTAGCCAAAATAAATAAATTTTCCTAATGAGAAAATATATTTTTTCTTATAAAGTTATGTTTATGTTGGTGTAATTTTTTCGTGTACGTTTTTTTTAAATTTATTTACGTTATGGTTGATAACAATTTCGATTTTAGCTTTCAGTTGCAAATAGATTTCGAGTTTGTTTACTATAGATTTCATATTTGTAAAGAAATAATTGACTTACAAATTTTAAAAATAATTAAGATAGATTTTTAAAAAATAGATAACTAAAGAAAGTTCAAATTTTAAATAAATGGGTATCAAAATAGACTTTAATTTTTGTGAGATTACACGTTGATCGGGGAGGAGAACGAAAAACGCTTTATAAGAGTATGAAAAACTCTCCCTAGCAGACGTATTTTAAAATTCTTAAGGAAAAACCCGAAAGGGAAAACTAAAAAAGAACAATATCTACTGACTGTGGAAACATATTAATTTAATCCCGATACTCGAGGATAAATAATTTTTTGGGTTAGAATTTTTGTATGATATTCATTTTGTGAATTATGGTTCACTCTACTACCCATCATTGTATGGGTTTTGGCTAAGAATTGTTTAAGAAGACTTGGGGTTTTTCTTCGTAGGGTACAACTTTTTCATCACCAAGGAACCATAAAACTATCACTTTAGGTGTTTTCTCTGTGGTATAGTTAACACACTTCTACAACGGTCTTTGTCTCTCCAACCTGCTAACAGGTATGTTAATTGCCACAATTGCACTCTTGCTACAATGGAACAATGATTGTGCAACATTTGTTTTAACCCAACGAACAAGTTGGTCGTGAAAAATTTAGACTTTACGAATAACGTCAGTGTATACTCGAGTCTCAAATCACGTTTGAGAGAAATGTTTTGGAAAACGTGAGTGAGGAAATACGTTGAATACAATTTGAAAGAAAACAATGTTATTAGCTAAAAGTGATTAGGCAACAACGCTTTTGATAGCATATAATCTGGGGTAGGAAGAAGTGACAACTAATTATATTCTCTTGTAGACATGATTTTGATGAATAGTCAGACACTCCTTGTATTGATACACCATAAAATAGCAAAGACATATCTAAAATGAAAGCATGTAAAAGGGATTTGAAACGAGCATGTGGAGAACAACAAGTTCTAGACAAGCATGATCGGGACATCCTACATACGGCCATAGACAACACACTTTAGACAAACATGACCGTGACACTAATCATACTAATCAATGATCTATTAATGTTGTCCTCACTCACATGCATCTTACGAAAATTCCTAGGATGTCACCGAACATAGGGTGCACCTTGTTGATATAGGTGTAACTTTTAATTCTTTTAAATATTTTTAGTTATCCTATCCTTAGATCGCTCTTAATCGGATGTAGCCTTTCATGTGCTTTTTCTTTAGTCCATACGGAGACCCACCAAATGATATTTTAACCTAAAATCGGTCAATAAAATGAACAAGTATATGTCGAACATGTTAGATTATTTATTTTTTGGATTTCCTACGTTGAATGAATTAAAATCTAATATGACAATTAAAATCCTAGAATTTTAAAAGTTAATTAATTTCAACCATAATTCATATTACTATTTTCTAATAACTCATTTAAAATCAATTAAAATATTATTGTTCGCCCGAATTATTACTATTTTTTTTTCCTTTGTTAAAGAGAGTGTAACGACTTAGATCCACCGCTAGTAAATATTGTCCTCTTTAAGCTTTCACTTTCAAGCTTCCCTCACAACTTTAAAACGCATCTGTTGTTAGGGGAAGGTTTTCACACTCTTATAAATGGTGTTTTTGTTCTCCTCCCAACCAATATGAGACATCACAATCCACCCCCTTTCGTTGTATGATCTTACATTGGTTGAAGAGGAGAACAAACCACCCTTTATAAGGGGTGTGAAAACCTTCTTCTAGCATACGCGTTTGAAAACCTTGAGGGAAAATCCAAAAGGAAAACCCCGAAGAGGACAATATCTGCTACCGATGGGTATGTGCCATTACATTTGGACAATATCTGTAGTGGTGGGTTTGGGTTGTAACATCAAGTTTGTTCTTTAAAAAAAAAATTATTTAAATAAATTTACTTATCTTATAGAGTTGGATTGTATTGTAACCCTATTTTTTAAGTTGACCGCACTGACCCAACTAAAAAATGTCAAATTTGCAACCGATTTTCCAAGAATTCATCCTAACCTAAATCAAAAAAATCTAACCCTACCCAACCAACATTTATGATTTGAGTTGAGTAGTTTGAATTGGTCGAGTTCTCGAGTCATACGAACACCCCTTTTTATATCTATAAATTTACAGTAAAGATTTCTAGACGGTATGTTACCAATCTAACCTATACCATTTAGAGTTCTCAGGCTCATAGGAAATTAAATGTCTTAATTATTAATATTAATTAATTATTGAAAAAGAAAAATAAATTAATTAGGAGTTTGGAATCCCAAAGAAAGTGTAATTATCATTAATAAACATCATACCATTGTCCTCTAGTGAAATGCCCTTTTTATAAAATAATATTTAAATGAAGGAATGTAAGCATGATTGAGTTTATATTATAATAATATTTTTTTTTTAAAATATGAAAGTATGGCTTAGGATAATGAACCTTCAAAGATTACATAATCAACCATAGGATATAAATAAATAAATATAAACAAGATGTTAACTTTAGTATATAAATAAATAGAACTTCTTGTTAAATTTTAAATCATCCACGTGCGAGGAAGATTTAAAATTCTAACCTCGATAGTTAATGATATAATGTCTTACTCAGTTGAACTATGCTCAAATTGATGATGTGATATCCGAATAAAAAAGGGTAATCCTAAGAATAATTACTACCTATGCTAACAAGGAGTACGTTCTTTCTTGGTAACTCAATTACAGAAACGCCAAAATCGACTGTATTTTGTTTGGAGTAATTTTATGTTGGATGATGACTTCTAGTCTATGGGGATAGTTTTCACGCGTAACGTGATCATGTCGCAACGGGTGTAGAAAAATATCAGGATCATTAAGTATCAAGAGTACGTGTCACGGATAATTTCAAATTTTTGGTCCAATTAAAAAATTAGAAATGAAATAGTGGAGAGAAGCATTTAAGGGAGAGAGAAGAGACGTGAATGGTACGTAGTTTGAGGGAATTGAAAAGGAAAAGTTGAAAAGGAATGAAGAAGACTTTCTATAAAATTAAACAAATTTAAATAAATAAAAATCTTAATTTTAAAATATTAATTAATTTGACATTCCTAAAGAAAAAAAATAATAATTTAATTATAGATCAACGGATTAAATATATGATATGATTGAACTAAAAAAAAATATAATGATCGGAAGAAAAAAATATCAAAGTAAGAAAAGCTTGAAAACTAAAACTCTCTCGTTCTCGATTTTTTGTCGAACCCATCTCTTCAGGTCATATCATTCTCCCGACCATATCTGCCTCCCTCTCAGTACTCTATCTCTTTCACTTGTGACGTTTTTCTCTACTCTTGTTAGTGGCACTTATCGCTAACACACATATGGTCGTTGTACACCAGAGGTTGTCTCTCAATCTCTTTTCGTCACTCGTCTCCCTTAGATTTTGCCTTCTTCTCTTCAACTAGCAGCTCATTGCCTAGCTCTATTCGATCTCACCATGAATATGAAACACGGTTCGAATGGTCATCACTAGTAAGGTTTCCTCCAACTCTATTCGATCCGCCTTAATTTTGGCTTACAACCTCTCCAATTTTCATATGAATTAAAAACAAAAAAAAAAAAAAAATTGAATAAACGACTCAATCCACCCGAACAAACCTTAGTTAAAAAAAGATATTCTTAATTGAAAAATTTACAATCCAATATCTGAGTCAATGTCTTAACCTGATCCAATCTAACCCAAGAATGCTCGCATAAAATTACCCAACGAGACCATTACAATATAATTATCCTCCACAACGATCGACTCTTTCAAAATCTAGATTATTCATCAAATACAAAATTCAACGAACATTTTATAATTTAAACGAGAGGAAGAGAAGATTAATATTTAATTACATATCTATATGTATAAATTTTTCTACCCATCATCATTAAATTATTGACAACAAAACTCAAGAATAATATGATTAGGGGAGAGAAAAAGAGATTGAAGGTATGAAAAGGCGAAACCCGTGCATTGCCCTTGCAACAATTGCGTGTGAAAATCAGCGCGTCTAGCCACGCCACCTCACTCCGAAACAAATAGCGCGTGAGATTAGGACTTCTATTATTATCATCACCCATTTTTAATCATAATATAATCTATTTATTTTTAAATCTTAAATTTAAATTTATAATTTAATTTCAATAATAATGTGAAATAAATATTTTTATTTTTTTAAAAAAATGGATGGTAGAATAAATAATAAAAAATATTTATTAAATTAAATAAAATCAAAATAAATATTTAATATATATGATTCCAAGCCATAGCTAACTGATATTTTTTTTTAGTGTGATGAAGAGGAAGATATGATAAATATTGTTAATGAATAAACCTTAGCTCTAATACTATCTCCAACACGATCTCAACTACCATGGCGTCGACCTTTGGCCCATTCCCTCTTCACTACGCTGTTACAAACCGTCTCACCAAAAACAACTTCATCATATGATGAGTCCAGCTCCTCCCTACTTATGGAGTATGAAGTTTATGAGCTACCTCGATGGTACTATTGCCGCTCCTGCGAAACTGGTCCCTTCCTCAACCTCTTGTGACCTGGTCTCTAATCTGGCCTATGATAAGTGGTATGATCAGGATCAACAGGTCCTTAGCGGTCTTCTCTCATCTATGTCTGAGAAGATCCTTCACGATGTGGTTGCTGCTTCTACTATGTCCAAGGAGGCGTGGGATATCTTGCAGCGGATGTTTTCGTCGTCAACTTGTGCTCACACTGTTTAGATCTATGTTGAGCTCCCCCTTTGTTAAAACGAGTTTGAGAGGTTTTCATATGTTTATGAAGAATGTTTCGTTCTCCTCCCGAACCCATGTGGGATCTCGCAATTTACTCTCCTTCGAGGCTTAGCGTTATCATTCATACTAGTTTTCTTCTCCTATCATCGTGGGACCACGTACATTCTAAAATTTATTTTTTTTTTAAAAAAAAAAAAAAACTAAATTCCCTGTCTAAAAAGGCAGCGTCTGACCCCCTTCTCAATTATCTCTAATATATTGAGACAAAACTGGTTTAAAAAAGTTTCTTCCCTTACCTTCAAGATATATATATTTTTTTTCTATTTTTTTTAATTAAAAAGAAAATTAATGCCCAAAAAGCATTTTCCAGAAATCCTTGCAACTGATCATTCAGTACTTCCAACTCCCTGATTTCCCAGAAATTCTCTCTTTCGTTTGATTAATGCTCTCTCTGTTCTGAATTTTACGCGATCTCTTCTTTCCCCTCTTTCTCTGCTCTTCTTTTTCTTAACACTTGCTGTGATTGATTGCAAATGGCTACACAATTGGATGGATTCATTGATTTATTGATGGATGGATGGATCCTTTATAATGAGATTTGATTTTCATTTCTTAGAAATGGGTTTTTTTTCTATTTTTGTTCTCGATTTCTGATTCTCATTGACCTTCTCCATCTGGGTTTTGTTCGTTCTTTGATTTCTGTGGTTTTTTAGGGATTTTGGGATTTGGGTTTTGATTTTTGGCTATAAATGAGAGCTGGGTTGAGTACGATTCAGCAAACTCTTACGCCGGAGGCGGCGAGTGTGCTGAATCACTCCATCGTCGAAGCAGGTCGTCGGAATCATGGTCAAACGACGCCGCTTCATGTGGCGGCGACGCTTCTCTCCTCGTCTAATGGGTTTCTCCGGCAAGCTTGTATCAAATCGCACCCGAACTCCTCTCATCCACTTCAGTGCAGAGCTCTCGAGCTCTGTTTTAGCGTCGCCCTTGAGCGGCTTCCGACGGCTCAAATCGCTAGTCCTGGCACTGAGCCGCCCATTTCCAACGCCCTTATGGCTGCTCTAAAGCGTGCTCAAGCCCACCAACGCCGGGGCTGCCCTGAGCAACAGCAGCAGCCGCTCTTGGCCGTGAAAGTTGAGCTGGAACAGTTGATTATTTCGATTCTTGATGATCCTAGTGTTAGCCGTGTTATGAGGGAGGCTAGCTTTTCTAGCCCGGCTGTTAAGGCCACCATTGAACAATCGTTGAATTCATCTGCCCCGGCGAGTTCTTCACCGGTTGGGGGATTGGGATTTCGACATTCTCCGGCCAGACCACCGAGGAATTTGTATTTGAATCCCCGGATGCAGCAGGGGAGCATTGTTGCCCCATCGCTGCAGCAGCATCGAGGGGAGGAAGTCGGGAAGGTAATCGATATACTGCTCCGGTCAAGGAAGAGGAATCCGGTGCTTGTTGGGGAGTCGGAACCGGAGGCTGTGGTGAAGGAATTGTTGAGGAGGATTGAAAATGGAGAATTAGGGGATGGAGCATTGTGTAAAGCTCAGGTGATTCATTTGGAGAAGGAGATTTGTGGTAATGATAGATTGCAGATTGGAGCTAGAATCAAGGATTTGGTGGAGCGTAGAATGGAGAATTTGAATGGTGGTGGAGGGGTTGTTCTTGATATGGGGAATTTGAAATGGCTGGTTCAGCAGCAGCCTGCAACTCGGGGTGGCTCGGGGTCGGGAACGGTGCCACAACCGGTTGTTTCAGAAGGCGGGCGGGCTGTGGTGGCGGAGATAGGGAAGCTACTTGCTAAGCATGGTAATGGTGATGGTGGTCGGCTCTGGTTGATAGGTACTGCTACTTGTGAGACATATTTAAGGTGTCAAGTCTATCATCCTTCCATGGAGAATGACTGGGACTTGCAGGCTCTGCCCATTACGGCCCAAGCTCCTCTTCCCGGATTGTTCCCAAGGTACTCTTTGTGTAAGATCCTACGTCTGTTGGAACGAAACATTCTTACAAGGGTGTGAAAACTTCTCCTATTAGACGCATTTTAAAATCTTTAGGGGAAGTCTGGAAGAGAACGTTCCCGTCCAAGGAGTCCAATAAGGAGAGGTTTCCACACCATTATAAGGAATGTTTCGTTATTCTCTCCGACCAATTTGGGATCTCATAATTTGCATTCTTAGATCGTCATTCTAAGTTATGCCAATATTCTTTGCAAATTGATTGCTTGTTCTACTTATAATGCTTTAGAACAGCTGAAGTTCTCGAATTCTGCTATTAGTTTATGGTTTGTTCACTTCTGAGTTCTTCAAAATTGATATCCATTTTCATTAGGCTTGGTACCACTGGTGTTCTTAATCGCCCGATTGAATTGTTATCCATGATCAAAGGATTTTCAACTAAGGCCACCGTTCCGATAGGATCGGTGGCGCTCGAGAACCTGGATTCATCTCGAAAAACACGTTGTTGTGCTCGATGCATGCATAATTACGAACAGGAGCTGGAAAAACTAGTGGCCAATGAGCTTGACAAGCCATCTTCAGTACTTAAATTGGAAGGAGGCAAAGCATTACCTCTCCCTTTGTGGCTGCAGAACGCGAAGGCCGAAGACGAACATTCGAAGAAACACGAAGCAACAATCGAGGTGAATTCTACTGTGATTCTTTGTTTACTTGTTCGTGTTTCTCTTGATAATTTGCATTTGTAAAATGAACGATCTTTCTTGTGTTTAGAGCTTGGATGAAGAACAAATACGAAAGCACAAGACTCGAGAACTTGAGAAGAAATGGCACGATACGTGCTTGCGCCTTCATCCTAATTTCCATAATCTAAACAAGTTCAGTCCGAACATGCTCGGGCATCAAATTCCTCAACCCAAGTTACAACTAAATAAAGCATTTGGGGAAAAAGTACTTTCAAGTTTGCAACCAGGAAGCCCGGTAAGGACGGAGTTGGCTCTTGGGCGAATGAACGACAACGACAACTCGACCGAGCAAACACATAAAGAGCAAGTGAAGGACTTTCTGGGTTGCATATCTTCCGAACCCGAGAGCAAAGTATGCAAATTGCAAAGTGGTAAATTTCTTAACGCGTCCGATATCGACTCGTACAAGAGGCTCTTTAAAGGTATACTAGAGAAGGTATGGTGGCAACAAGAAGCAGCATCTGCTTTGGCTACAAGTGTGACACAATTCAAGTTGGGAAATGGAAAACGTCGCGGTACGATTCGAAAAGGAGACATGTGGCTCTTGTTCTTAGGTCCCGACCGTGTTGGAAAGAAGAAGATGGCAACTGCTCTTGCAGAGCTGGTATCTGGGTCCAATCCGGTAACCATTTGTCTTGGCTCAAAACGTAGCGATGGAGGTATTCGTGGTAGAACCATGTTAGATAGAATATCAGAGGCGGTTAGAAGGAATCGTTTTTCGGTTATTGTGTTGGATGATTTCGACGAATCGGACCTACTGGTTCATGGAAGCATAAAAAAGGCAATGGAGAGAGGTCGATTCACTGATTCTCACGGTCGTGAAATCAGTCTTGGTAATATCATCTTCATCCTTACATCGAACTGGATACCGAATGATATGAAACGCTTGTCTGATGGTAATCTGCTTGAGGAAGAGAAGTTTGCTAGTTTAGCAAGAAGCACTTGGGAATTGAAACTATCCCTTAGCAAGAGGACGATTAAACGTCGACTCGAACGGGCACATGGTGAAGAGCAATGTTCGAAACCGAGAATCGAAACTGGTTCAACCATATCATTTGATCTCAACGAAACTGCAGATACAGAGGATGAGAAAACAGACGGATCACTGAATTCAAGTGATGTAACAATCGAACACGAAACCGAACATGGTCTCAACATTCGACAATTATCATTCCCATCTCCATCAAAATCACGAGACATGTTCGAGAGAGTTGACGATGCAATTGTCTTCAAACCAGTTGACTTTGCCTCGATCAAGCACAACATCACGTGCTCCATCAACAAGAAGTTTTCATCGATTGTTGGAGAAAAGATCTCCCTTGAACTACACGAGAACGCTCTTGAGAAGATCACGAGTGGGGTATGGCTCGGTAACATGAATGTCGACGAATGGACTGAGAAAGTCCTTGTACCGAGCTTGAAAGAGCTCAAGACTAGTCTTCCGAGATTCGATGCCTTCGATTCCATGGCGGTTAGGCTCGACGCTGATGACAGTTCAGGTTGTCGGGGCTTAGAAGATCAGCTTCCTTGCAGCATCAAGGTGGTTGTGGGGGAAAACTGTGAGATAGCAGAGGTTAATAGCGGTTGTCATTTTGTAACTTCTGTTGGATAGAGATGTAAATATGCTTGAATGAAAGGGTAAAACCGTAAAGAAAAAAATCCACAAAAAAAAAAAAAAAAATTAAAAGAATATACTATTTTTTTTTTCGTTAAATTATTTGATATCTTTATGTTTAAAGAATTATATATATTATTTTATTGAATTAATAATTTTAGTGAATGGTTAATATTTATTCCAAAAAGTATGAAGGGTAAAATTGTCATTTTGCTTCCAATTAATTTATTTGGATAATGAAATAAAAATTAATTAAACATGTCATTTTATTTTTAATTAGAAAATATTCAATTATATTCTTTACCTTTGTACATGTCAACATTAATAATAGAATACTATTATGACATTATTATCAAATTAATTTTGATTAAGTTGGTTGGATGTGACATAACTCTTTATTAAAGTAGATTTTTTTTAAAAAATAAATTATAAATGCCCTAATTATTGAAAGATAAGATTTTTAAAGTGGGTTCGTGGAGCCAAGTCAACTAAATTAAAAAAGTTTAGATACCTCTAATTAAATTGTATTTTTGCTTTTGGAGGAACGGGAGAGTATTTATCGAACAACTGACATGGAGTACTCTAAGTAAAACAGGTCGTTTGTGTTGTTGGATGAAAGTCTCACGTCGGCTAATTTAAGGAATGATAGTGGGTTTATAATCAAAGAATACTATCTCGATTGACATGAAGCTTTTTGGGGAAGCCCAAAACAAAGCCATGAGAGTCGTGTTCATCTAACTTGGTAGCAGAGTCATGCTCTAAGCTTAGCCGTGACAAAAGAATTCTCAAATGCCGAACAAAAGACTCCAAAAGAAAAATGAGTCGAGTCTCGATTAAGGGGAGGTGTTGGATGAAAGTCTCACATCGACTAATTTAGAGAATGATTATAAATTTATGAGTCGTGTAACTCGTAAAGGTTCTAAAAACTTGACATGAAACTGTATGACCTGATTATTAAATGGACTCCGACTCAAACAAATACAAATCTAGCTTCTTGTTATATATGGATAGTATTTAAACTAGAAAGAAATCAAAGATAAAAACAATATCAATGTGTTGTAATTTTGATAGGGTATAACTTAAAAATGCAAAAAATAAATTCAACGAACCCGAGTTAGGTTGAGCTATTTTTCTAGAAATAAATTGATACTATTATAATGATATAGAAAAAAGAATATATGTACACGCCCATGTCTATGTTGCACCACCCTCGCAGTTGCACACACCACACCGCTTGCTCGCCACGCTACTCTAGTTCTCAGTCGCAACCACCACATTGTGAGCCCTCTCTTGATCCCACTCATTACTCATCGCTTGCTAACCTTACGCCCACGCTTCTTCCAATCACACGCTACTCCGGCTCCACTCCAAGTTACATGCCCAACCAACCAATACAAATTGTTCCCGAATAGAACTTTAACACAAACTCAGTGTTTGATCTTCAGTTATTGTGATATCCTACATAGTAAACATCATAGTATCCTGCTAGCTTATATTCTTCGCTTTTTTGTATACAAGACCATAGTCGATTGTACCTTTGACATATCACAAGATTTGTCCTTCGTGCAATAAACCATTCTTCATATTTATATGCCATAGTTTTCAATCTTTATTACCTCAAGTTATGGCATGACCTGTATAATAGTGATCTTCGCCACTAGACTAAACATTTTATCATATTCTAGTTCATATTGTTGAGAGAACCCTAGAGCTACAGTATCATTCAACAGATTCATTTGAGGGACGCTTTATTTTGTAAACCCAATTATAAAAGATAGGAGTGACATCTTCTAGTCTTGACACTAGTTATGTGGTTTGATTTTTCTCCAATGCTATAAATTTTTCCTTCATTGCCTTCTGTCAAACCATATTTTGTGATGCTTCTTCATACGTCTCTTGCATTTTAACTTCGTCTTCCATAATTGCTGCATCGACATACTTTGGATTTGACTTTTGGATTCTTTCTGACCGTCTAAGTTGTTGATGTGTCATTATATTTTTAGTTGGTTCGCTTGGTTGAGTCACTTCTTGCTCATTAACATCAGTGTCACTTGGATCTTCATGCGCATCAAAACTTAACAAAATATGTACAATTTGCTCCCCTCGTCTTTTGTATTAGAATTTCTTCAATGTTGTCGACGTGTGGTGTTCAATACACCCCGACGGCTCTTGAAAGTCTGGAGGACCAAGTGCCTCCAAAGCCCGGTCGTACTCACCTGTCGACTGTCTCGTCACCTGTAGGAGTAACTATGACTCTAATTAGTGACGCGGACGAATGGATTAACAAAGCCTGTAATACTTTCTTCTTTCAGGGCCACCCCTCATTGCACCACTATGATTACCAATCATGTAGTTTGAGCATTCTGAATCAATGATCTAGTCATTCTTGTTATTGATATGCTCTCCCATCATCGCCATAAGTGATACCTCATCTTCATCTATGCCACATAGTACCTTCGCATCCCATTCATCCTCCATCTTCTTTTTGGAGGTTGCCACATTACTTTCGACGAACTTTTCCTAGACTAACGATCCTTGGATATGTAGTCTTTCTTCACGCAATTGTACAAATACCTTCAAATCTTTTTTCTTAAGAATTCTTATTGTCGTTCTTCTAAGCTCTCCCAGGTTGTGTAGTTCCTTAATGACTTCTTTCTTTATCAGCATTTCTCATCTCATAATCTTGATTTCTAACAATACAGCTCATGTATCATGATGCCCTGATAAGTATCAAGACCTTGTTGCTCACTTAGACATGCTTATCGAAAGCTGGCCACATGAGTCAACCAAAGACATCTCGAAGATTCATCTATTTGGGTTCTATCGAGGTATGAACCCTCCCCTATCCACTACGAGTCATTTATGGATACCATAACAGATAGTGGGTGCCTATATCAACCTCCAACACATGGTCTAGGGTGCAATGTCGGCCCATCCATGTTGTCCAATGATGTCCTCGAAAAAAATCATTCTCAAAGGAAGACGTCCAAGACATTCGTCTTGCAATACTCACCCACATCGTGACACATGTATGTGCCACAAGGTAGCTTACTTAGGTCACATGGTCTAGGGGTGGTGGAAAGCTAACACTATATTTCTCCCTATAGGACATTTTGAGACACTTTTTTGTACCGTAGGAGTAAATGTGATTTTGGTGAATGGTCATACACCCTCATGGAACGCCTGTCAAGTGTCCGATTAACACCAAATTTTGTGAGTATTCATATTTCATAAAGAAGGACTTAACTCCAAACTCATATGTCAAAGCTTATACCAAAACTCCATCTTTTGAGGTTGAGGCTCAATGTCCTACTCGACCATTTTTCAAGTCTCTGACACTCTTATCTATCCTTTATCTTTGTCTTTCTTATGCCTCAACTTGGCTTCAATACAAACTTTTCGTAATGGTTGGATGATGCACTAGCGTATCATGGCAGCTGTCTATCTTGACAGCCATAAGCTTGATGGACGCCACTTGAGTGTCATCACCTTATTTGTCTACATGTGTGGGTCACAACCTACTCTGTCTTTCATAGTCATATTTTAGAAGTCGGATGGTAACCTTAACTATTTTTAAAATTCTTTTTTAATAATAATTCATATAAAGATGGTCACCTTTGCGTGTTTTCTAATCTCTAACCAAAGCCAAAGCAAGTTGAAAAGGTAACAAGGCAATTCTAAAAGGGACTTTAAGGATTTAATTATATAGTTAATTAATCTTTAAGACTTTATATTATTTTTTAAAAACCTATCATTAAAATATATAATAAAGTTCTATTATGGTAAACATGAGACTATTTAATAATATTCTATGAAATAAAGCTAAACATTGTCACATTGCTTAAAATATTCACAAATAATATGGTCAATACTTTATGGTAATGGAAAGATAATGTGTATATCCAAACACCCATTATCATATTGTAGCCAAAAAATTCCAATCATTTCATTAAAGAAATAAATGTGCCTAAAGTCCCCCTTTCAACCCAACCATGCATGTGTTCTCCTTCATTTTAATACATTTCTCTATAATAAATCCATTAATCTTTTTAAAAAGATATTTTTGATAGAGGTCGAAAATTTGAATCTTTCTTAAATACGTTAATTTAATTTCTATAGTGTAAAACAGAAACTATACATATTTGATTGATAAGCAGCTTGATGAACAATCACGTAAGTTGAATTCGACCCGGGACTGCCAAGCTAATATCCGCCTACATCACCACTTTTAAAGGAGGATCGAAAACCAGCTAAGGTACTGTAGTGTCCCCTAAAGACGTAACGATAGGTTCTATTCTATCTACCCATTCGAATCATCCTGTATTGGGTTTGTAGCCGAGACCGTTAGATTCATGATGTCATGTCTATATAACCTATCTCTATACTCATTTAAGTTTTGGGGACTCATTTTTCTAGTGGACTTTGTCTAAAGTTTATACACATGAAACAAATTAATCTTTGGTTAAATATGGTTTTTCTTCTTTGAACTATAATGGATAAATTCTTATCATACATTATAGGAATGATATAAAAATTTGGAGTATTCATATAACTTGATAAATAATCATACACGTTAGATTGTGTTGATTGTTTTCGATTTGGGTTTGGTTGATTTTTTTAAAAATCAAAAATTCAGTTTGGTTTGCGGGTTGATATCTTTTTGGTCGAGTCAACTCGACCAACTCGAAAATAGAGTTACAACCTAACCTAACCCTACCTACTTCTGAAAAAAAAAATTAATAATATTTAACGTTTGTAAATAATGTTAATGATAAGTTCAGTCTTGTAAATATTTGATATATAAATTTTATAAAATTTTAATTATTGATATGGTAGATGGGTAGAATTTTTTTTAAATAACTAAAAAACAGACCAACTTAACCTAACTTGTGAACGCTATTTGGACAGCATTACTAATCCAACCTAAAATTTTAGGTTTGAATGTAAATTTAAAAACACATGTGATGCTGGAGTAAAATAGGAGTATATGAATGAATTAATACTACATGTAAATGAGAATGATCCTGAGGATAAAATGACTGAGCAAACTTAAAAGAAATGAAAATTATTGCTTATGCCTATAAGGTGTATCTTTACTCAATCATAGAAACTCTATGATTAAACGTGTTTTACTTAAATATATTAGGTGACCTGCTACGAATTTTACTATAGTGCATGTGAGTGAGGACAAAGCATACGGTAAGGAATTGTGTTGATTTATGAGAATAGTCTTCACTCTTAAAAAGCGAGGAGTAGGTAACATGATTATGTCAGGGAAGATCGAAGCCAACAAGTGCCTTTTACTTAAAAATTATTTATGAATGTAATGGCTCAAACCTACCGTTAGCAAATAGATCAAAAATATATTAAACACAAATTTAAAAATACATCCTAACACTTTAAATTATTGTATAGGATGTACGTTTTAAAATATTCATGATTATTCATTGGGTTCTACTTTTTTTTATTGGGTAGAGTTAAATGCAGAGTACTTTTCTATACTAGTTCACATACATGCACATGGGCTCATTAGGCGAGCTCGTTAATGTACTCCTAGGCCTGACTATGAGCTAGCACACGCTCAGTGCCAAAAAACTAAAGAAAAAGAAAGAAACGTGATGCATGCATCCATGATCACATGACATACAACATGCATGAGATCTCAAATTAAAAACTATGATTCAATTAGATGATGTCTATAATACTTTCATACTTATCACGATGTAAATTTCTTATGAGACGTACTATATATTCAAGATATTTCGTTCTTGCTCATTATACATAGTACATCATGGTATCTTGCAAGACATAAACATGGTCATATCAACATAGCCATCAAGGTTTCCACACCCTGGTAAAGGGTGTTTTGTTCTCCTCCCCAACGAATGTGAGATATCACATAGAGTTCTTTCTCAAGAATTGGTCATAAGGTTGATAACATCTATTTTGGGATTCTAAATCGCTCAATTTCATCAAGAATCGAGGAAGAACAAAGTATAGATTTCAGATTTTTGAATTTGGTTTTCCTCCAAATCCAAGAGTATTTCTTGGAATTAGATTTTGATTTTTAAGTATATTGTTCTTAGAGGAATTTTACCCAAGATTCATGAAGAAATTCAAAGTTAATTCAGATGAGAAGATGGTATTCAGGCGATCATCAAAAAATTACAAAATTTGTATGTTTTTAGTTTTGGACGATCCTTGGACGTGTTTATTTTAGTCGATAGTTCGATAACAAATTATGATTAAAGTATCTATGGGTAGATTAATTGAAATTCTACAATTTTGGTGAAGAAACCAAGTTGATCCAAGTTTTATGTGAAAAATTAAGTTGAATCGAAAAATTTATCGGTTTCTAGGAAAATTGTGTTCACAGGTGAATACCCAACGGACATGTGTTGCACAAGCAGACGGTCCATACGTTTGGACAAAAAAACCAATAGGTGTCATAAGAAGAGAGAGTCGTGTGTCAATCAACTAGTAGAATTACGTGTTTCGGGTAGTCTGACCCACGCCCACATATAATTTAGCAACCTACACTCGAGCAAAACCATCCGCCTAACCCGACCTACGACCCACATCTCACATGGGTGCAGCATTTATTGTTACGAGAATAATTGGAGAAATTTCATGCTTGCGACGGATCAAACCCAATCTCTAGGATTTAAATGTGCAATGTCACACTGTGGGGACACGTTTCCCTTTCCCCAAGCACGTCTATATGTACACTTAGGGAGCCCTTTTTGCCTCGTTTGACCTCCTTTATACAGTTTTTCATCTTGATTTCAATACTAATCTTAATTTAACTTGAATTAAGACATACCAGATAATTTTCAGAAATTTTAGAGCTTCTAACACAAAGATAATCTTAATTTAACTTGTCAAAACATGTCACCATTGTCGCACTCTTGATAAAGCACTTATTGTACCCCATCATCGTTCGATGATGGGCTTATTGGTTTATCAAGAGTGCAATGATGGAGTTGGGTCAGGTTAGGTTCTCAGGTTGGGTGTACACCCCTATCTGTAACTACTTGAAATCATCAATATATGAACCCTAGGTATCGTGGAGTTCTTCATTCTAGTATTATCATGTATATTTCTCCTATCGTCTTTTTTCTTTTGCTCTTCATGTTTTCATCTAGATCAAGTATGTGAGTTGTGCAATGCTAACAGAATACATACATACATATCTACATATATATGTGTGAACGTGTTGTGTATGCATGTGCGTGTATTTTTACTTTGCTATATAGTATAATTTTTTTCATTCTAGTTCTTAAATTCTCGAAGGTAACCTTTAAAATATCTGTTTTAGTTCAATACTTTTTTTTTCTTGTTATTATTCTTTGTCTTGTACAATCCGTAAATTTTGATATACATGTTGAGATCTCACATCGGTTGGAGATTGGGACGAAACATTCCTTATAAGGGTGTGAAAATTTCTCTTTAGTAGATACATTTCAAAATCGTGAGGTTAACGACAATATAAATGGGTTATCTGCTAGCAATGGGCTTGAGTAGTTACAAATGGTAGAGCCACATCAGGCGATATTCTAGCGATGATGCTATCCCCTAAGGAGGTGGACTGTGAGATCCCACATCAACTTCTCTCTAATATACGAGTTTTAAAACTGTGAAGCTGATGTTGATACATAACGGGTCAAAGTAAACCATATCTACTAGTGGTGCCTCTTATTCGAGAATACATGTCAATTACTATTAATAATTCCCACAAACTTTATTCTCATTTAATAATTCAACTAACTTAATAATTTTTTTCTCACCTTTTTTTTCCTCAATTTCTTAATTGCATTAAAGAATGTCACCACTTTTCCCAATTAAGACCCTATGATTTCATAAATGTTCTTCATCGCCTTCCAAATAAATAGAATTACAACCAAACATGTCATCAATGTACTCTATTTTTCCAAAAAAAAAAAAAAAAAAAAAAAAAAA